AAGGTTAACAACAGTTTCTCTCTGTTGTGAACATCCAGCGGCTTCGGTTCTTTTACTTGAATTGGCTTAATATTTGGAGTAGGCTGTAACACCTTATGCTCAACCTTACTTTCCGGATCAGCAAAATCCAATGGCGGATCTAATGGGTTGGGAACAGCACTAAAATTTAAAGTTGGAACGTAACCCATTTGCATGTCGTGCGTTGCAATCTGAAGATTGTTGTTGTATCCTTCAAACATTCCTATTCTGAGATCCATGTCCGACGGCACCAAATACAAACCCGGTGCCGCCACGAAATTTAAAGGTGTTTTTGCATATTGCAACGAATCTTGAAACTGGTCGATTGACTGCTCCGGGTTTGGCTCTGAATTTATCAAAAATTCCACGATCGTAATGAACTGTTGTTGAGCATCAAGTCTAGTGCCCATTGCCAATACGCTTGTTTTTGTCTGGGCTTGCGCACCCAGCAGCGCGTACACGTAAGCTCTGATCAATTCGTTCACCTTTGTGATGCCTACGTCAGTTAATTTAGACTTTTTCGGGATAAAGTCCCACCACGCCAATGTAACGTCATTTGACTGCTCGATCCAAGTTATGGTATATGTAGTCGCGTGACCCAAACCCTTTGGCGGCATGGCCCAACCAAAGTCCATAAAAGTTACTTTTGGTAACTTGTAAGCCGAAGTTAAATTTGGAAACTGTCTTTATTAACCACGATTGCTAAATGACTAAAGTTGGTTCCCATCTTTTAAAATAAAGATTTTTTAAAAGGAGGCACGGTGGGCATTGCTGAATCGTCAGATGGAGGTGGCGGTTCCTGTTCGTACTTGAGAGACTTAGTTTAAGTTATTCACCAAGTTTAATTGGCTAAAATTTCCGCCTTTGCTTGCAATTGACAGGCAAATTCTTCTTTGCTCTGTAATTTGCCTTCTTGTAATTTGGTCGTTGTGTTTGACTATATTTTTTCTTTTATTTCGTTACATTTTCTACGTTTGGAACATTTGGTCATGTTTCTTGGTTTTTGACGTCAACCGGCGACTGGCGTAATTTAGTAAAGCGTATGCTCCAAATGTGCCTATAGCAATGCCTTCCATCACTAGCCCAACAGGGGTAGTGACGTCCCCTAATAAAGCGGGAATACCTATGGTGGCTGATGTAACACCTATTGCCCCGGTTGCATATTCCATGTAATCGAGCACAGTGAGCACGCGTACAATCTTTTTGTAAGAAGTCTCACGTGCCATACGCTCTCGCAAGATTTGCCCGCCGATGTCTTCCATCTTTTGGAGCCTGTAAACTGTTGTTGCCTCTGCTTAAGTGGCTTTTGATGATTTGTCTAGTAATTCTAGCACAGGGTACATATTAGACTGAATATTTGTTGTCATCACTTCTTTTAAATATACACATTTTAAAAAATGTCTAGTTCTATCGTAATTTTACCATCTTTGTTGTTGATGATTTCTTCCTTTTCGATTCTTAACAAAAATTCAAAACTTTTTGTACATCCATTTACAATTGATTCAGCGGTGTTTTTGCTTGGGTCTAATTGAAATAATTAAAATGATTGTTTATTTCTTGGCAGTGTATCCAAAGCTCTTTAAAGGGTTTGTGTTTATTTTCCCAATATAAATAACGTTTTGAACAAGCCTACCTCTTGGCAAATTCAATAACTTGCCAACTTCTTTGCCCAACTTCAATCTGATATTCAGATCTGTCACTATAATTGTTAACTAAATTGGAATCGCGGTGAACTTTAAAACTCACCCCCGGAATGGCATTTAAAATAAAATCAAACCAATTTACGTTGTAAAAACCCAGTGGAATGACTACACTCCCACATTCTCCACCTTTCGAAAAATCTGCGGGCGTTTCTCTCTTGTGCAATTGTTGCATGACCGGGGCATTATTAGAACCCATAACTAATTGAGCATACTGGAGGTCGGTTTGTGCAGCTCTAATGATTCTCTTGCTATCGTCGTCGTCGCTTAAAAATCTGTCTTGAATAAATTCCAAAGCAATGCGGCGGGCTTCTTTAATAGTATCAGCTTTTTCTTGACATAAAAGCATAAGATAAAAAATATGTTTTCTTTTGCTAGAGGTATTGATAAATCTCTTTCTAATATTCTTTGTTTTGGGGTTTCTAAATTTATTTTTTGTTCGTTGAGATCAGTTATTTTTCGGTCAATTGAGGCACTTAATTGAATTAAGTGCCTTAAGTAAATCTTCTAAATTACCCACCTCATTAGCTCAAAGTTAATCTCTTATTACGTCATAAAACAAAACTGAACTGCCTGCCTCTAATTCTGACAGCGGTATTGTAAGTCCAATTGTTGCTAATAAACTCATATCCATATTTAACCTGCGTCCTTCGGGTCTCCTTCAAGTAGGACATCCTTCGACTTGAGTTTGCCATTGATTTCGGTGGATTTTGTAATGTTAAAATATCCCGGGTAAAACCTTACTTTTTTGACTTGTACGGCCTTGTCACCTGTTATTGATGGCATTTTCTAATTCAAACATCTGCTCACTTTCGGTCAAATAAAAAGAATGAGTTTCCATAACTGTTTTATAATAAACAGTTTTAAATAAGACCTTCTTCTTCATAAAGGTTATATTTCATAATGGCGTCCTCCCAATGTTTATCCGAAACTTGAAATAGGTCTTTTACTTTGTCTACCGTTTCTTCCATCACGTTTTGATAACAGACGGCAATAAGTGCGCGAAGTAGTTGCCCTGTAGAAGTTTTACCTGCTAGAATTTGGTTTAATTTGTGATCCATGCCACCTGCTTGATGTTCCTGCAATTGAATGTTTATTCATTTGAGTGTTTTATTTGGTTTTTTTATTTATAAACAAAATGCTGATTGTATTTGCTGCCTAAGTTCTCTGTTTCAAAGTCTGCGTAAGGCTGTAGTCTCTTACAACAATCGTGGCAATTTGCAAATCTGTTTTCTATTATTTTATTGATGTGCGGACGTGTCTTCTTCGGTTTTTACATATGCTTCTGGTGGGGATCTTTCATTGAGCAAATTATACAACTCTTGTACATCTGGTGGTAGGTAATAACTGGTCATTGGTTTTATAAATACTTATTTGTTTAAGCGCAGTTGTTGCGATAGAGCCACACTGTTCAAGAGTCCACCATAGTTACCAAGTTTCGCATTTGTTGCAAGATTTACAATATTTACATTTTTTACAATCATTACATCGATATGATTAGAATTTAAATAAACATTTAGAATCGCAAGCATCTGTTTCGTTAACGGATTTACTTGTGTTTTTGCAAAAGTAACAATTGACATTGGTTTTTTGGTTTGACATCTCTGTTTTAAAGAGTTAGAGAATTTTTTTTTTTTTTCAATTTTTGTTGAAGCCCCATTCTCCATTTTGGAGAGAGGGTTTTTTTTTTCCCTCAAGCCACCAAGTCTCCCGGGCGAATGGGGCAACAAAGATTTCTATATGAGAGTGAGAACCTTTTTTCAATCATTCCAAGGTGGGAGAGGGCCCGAGAAAGGGGTGAGGAGGGTCGAATAGGTATACAGGGGAAAAGTGGGGTGGAACTTTCTTCCTATACTACTCTTGGTCCCACGGACTTCTGACCCTCACGACCGCTCCCGGTCTCAAATCAGCGAAAATGTCGCTCAAAATCACATCGCAATTGCGGTACAACCTCTTGGGTTATTTCTTTCACGGGCATCCCTCTCTCTTTTCCTCATATGACTACGGCACTTATCTACATTACAAATATTTACAAAGATTTATTTACATTACAAATAATTACAAAGACACACATGCACACAAACAAAAGTTGCTACGTCTTTATTTAATTGTCTCATAAATATTCATATGTACCCGGTTCGCCTACTCTTTCAGTGTGCAGGCTATGGTAGTTGTATGCACACGTAGGCATTGTCTACGTCCACTTGAGGTGAAAGTGAAAATACAGGCGATATCAACGTATAACCATGCTTACCTGACCTTGTGTGATGGAAATAGAAAGGAAAATAAAAATAAGGGGGAAAAAGATGGACTTTGGCATCAACTATGACACATTGGTGATATGAAGCTGGTACTATGTTGTGCGTAAGACAGGGTTTCCTGAGAAGATTTAAATTTGCGAGTTCACAGCATGTCTCATATGTCATCGTGCAACTGTGAAAAGACTTCCCATGATTGAGACTAAGGAGAAACATTTGGTCAATATGCGGTAACATGGTAGTCGCTTTCCCAGGGGAAGAAAATGGCTCAGAGGCCATAATGATACACTGGGGCCTCACTAGAATGGCCCAAGCAACATCGGTTGAGGTGTCACACAGTTGTCCGCAGACAATGGTTGTACTAAGATGTCCACCCCAGCAAAAGGTGGCCAATTGTCTAGGACAATGTGGTGAAATTCAGCGAATTTTCCAGGACGAGTCAGGCGGGAGGTCCAATACAAAGGAAAACGGGCAACTAGTGGTGTAGTTCTATGCCCCAGAGTACGACACGTTGGAAAAAGGTCAGTCCAAAAACTGCTCCAAAACAGCATGACAGGCAAGCCAAGAAGTATCATACTGATCACAAAGATTCCGGATATCATGTGATTTGATACTAACCTCGAAGATGAGACAGAAAAAGGAAAATTTAGCTAGTGAAACAGAAAGCAAATGCGGAGCTGCCAGATGCTAGTGCTGCGCACAATATAACATATAATATATGTATAACATATAATATATGTTGCCAGATCATCATCACACAGTGTAGGTATTTTCACATGCTTTATAATTTCATTTACAATTAGTGGATTTAATCACATAAATTACCGGTACAGGAGCATGGTCCAGAACAAACTTTTTCTCCTGCCTTCATCCAGTAAATATTATTGCTTTAAACATATATATGTACGGCAGTGTTTGCAATGACTTGCCATACAAATTATGTTTGTAAATAAATCAATTTGATGCTAATCCATACAAATCTAATTAGTTATTAGTAGTACTGACTTCCTTTTTTTTTTGGCAGTGGATCATGAAGAAGATGATTACCAGTGTGTTGGCGTTCTAAGTGTCCACACCCAAGATGTAAAGAATGTATGTTGGCATCCATATAAGGAGGTACGTTAATGTAACGGCAACCCAGGGAGGGGCCAACTGCCAGTTAAGTGGGACTAACTAAGCTGAAATTTACCGACTTGATTTTTATGATAGCAACTCAAACAACAAAAGGTTTAGAATAACTTCAATTTTCTTCACCTAACAACATGAATAATCACCATGAGAGAGCATGCCAGTTCTTAATAATGTAATACAGAGCAAAGAATGTCAGTAGGGGTGTACAAAGGGGAAACATGGTAGTCAAGGCATGGTGGCATGATATAAGGACAAGGTAAATGGAGTATATTAGAACATACATTAAGACGGCAGAGGCCACTGAAAACCTTTGAGAAAAACTCTTGTAGTGTTGGTAAAGAGTAACAGACGTTGGTGTTGGTGCAAAACAACAAACATAATACCAGGAGTGTAATTTGTCCGGATTTCCAGAATTTCTGTGAGACTATCCACAATTTCTGTGAGACTTTCCTGATTTCCGTATTGTCAGTGCTTTCAATATGTAATGCAAAGACTACAATATTTGGTGCCAAAATAAGCAAAAGACTTACACAAGTTTAAGTGTATAGCATGTGCTTTTACATGTACGTGGTTACTACCCCTGGAAATGCGCCAGATACGTGTACATGTACATGTAGGTAATAGTACATTGAACGGAGGGGGTATCATTGTCAAAACATAGGGACCCAGGCCAGCGGTATGATCGTTTTTTGTATGAACATGTACTGTATGTACTGTACGTTCACAGTGTGTGTATGCACGGTACACGTGTTGTCGTTGCATGCACTGTGTACAACTTGCGCCCGTCTGCCATTGCGTTTCATTTCGTTCTAGTGATGGTCTGATGTCGTTGACGCCCATCAAAAATGTCATACAAGGTAGCAGGTAGGGAAGGGGATCTGAATGTAGACAAAGGATTCAAGAATTCTTGGAAATTTTCCTGGCTGGAAACCGAGGTGGACAGAGAATTAACCAAGGGGAAATCGATATATTATCGTGACTTTCTCGTGAAACTTGACAAACCTGGGTACTCCAAGTGCACATGGTGTCACGAATAATGCAGCACTCATCTGTATGAGACAGTTCTCAGTTTTAGTAAATTGTGATAGAATTTTGTGGGTCACTGATAACTGCCTGTGTGTGTATAACACTTGTAGGTCTTTGATTGTCACCAATTATAGCTTACATTTATAATTGCAATAGAAGTGGATGACAACAATGGTTTTGTTGTAGTAAATGTTATAAATTGTATCCCTCAAAGTAAGAACAGCTCTTGTGGTGGCTTACATGTAGTACCTGAATCTCCTCCTATAATCAAATAGATATGCTGCAAATTGTAGGGAAGCTGTGGCCGACGCGATTTACAAAACCCTCAAATGACTGTTTCATAGATTTTTAATTTCCCCCAAATCACACCCCTGTAATACATTTCAGAAAATTAAGGCAAAGTAACAACATGTTACCAGTGTACTTACAGGTACAATAGGGAACAATGGAGCCAGTGCAGGGCCCCACAGTCCACTGAGTACCCTGGAAAGCACACACATTAATAGTCTAAGCTCCAGAATGCCAAAATCGCTTCCAAAAATTGACCCTACTCCATCTGCTCCCCTTAATGTCTTTTTTTGGGGGGGTACCTGATCTTTACTCAAACTTTGCCTACAATTTCTTTCAACTAAAGATTGATATTAATTACATGTATATTGTAACATCCACAGAGCAGTCTTTGGCCAGATCGGGAAATCTGGGGTCTGTACTCTATAAAAATCACTCACAGGTGCACAAGGTAGCTTCAACTGCGTGTATCTCTTGTATTTCTAAGGAAAGAACAGGATGAAATGCTACTTAGAGCAGGAAGTTCACCCCATTGCCCGTGACTTTTGTTTCTTGTCAATAGTCACCAAAAACATAATGTCGGAAGGTTGCCCGGACGCTGCCTTTCATTCCACTGTCTGCCACTGCGCGCTCACATGTCTGAGCAAACACACGTCAAAATTCCTATTTTTCATTTAGAATGGGCACTCTGCCAACTTGCAGCAGCACAGTATTGTTACACTACCCCCTGCTTTAGAAGGGATGCGTCCTCACATCTGCTTTCAGGTTTCTCCCCAGGATTTTAAAAACTGGGGGGGATTTCCATTGTGGTTTACCAACTTTTTGCAAAGCCATGGCGTAGGGTTGAAACTTTTTATACTTGGGATGCTCTCAGCTGCATTTTAGAGCATATCCTGGGCTTTTCAAGTACCTTTTCTCAGGAAAAACATAAGAGATTTAATAATTTCTTTTTTTATTTTGGATACCAATATTTTAACAAATGACCAGTTTTCCTTTCCGGACTACTAATTATAGGCACAAAAGGAGTCATTTCAAGTTTCAGACATGCATCAACACGTAGTGGCTGTGTTAATCAATGATTTAAACACCCGTTTATTCAGCTTTAATTTAAATACATGCTTCAACCTTTGGTTTTTGTTGATCAGACCTGAAACCATGAGCTCCATTCAGTT